TTGGTTATTTTGGAAACCTGCATTGTCAGTAGTTGAGATGGGAATGGGTTAGCATTTCTTTCAAGTGAGAGTGCAGTCTGGGGAAGAGTCTTGTGTGGTCACTGTGGTTTATGGCCCAAACAAAACAGCTGAGAGAGTTGAGATGTATGAAGAATTAAGAAGATGTGTAGTGACTCAGGAGCCTGGTATCTTTCTTGGAGATTTTAACGCAATCATTGGGGCGTCTGAAGCTTCGAACAACCCTATCCATAGTCAAAGCATGGATGACTTTCTTAAGTGGATCGCAGATATGAAGTTAACTGATCACAAAACTGTTGGTTCTTGGTACACATGGTGGAACAAGCAGTCTGCTAATCCTATTGCTAGGAGGATTGATCGAGCCCTGGTTAATGAAGAGTGGTTAGGTATTTTCAAAGATAGTCTTGTTAAAACACTGCCCCCTGGCGTTTCAGATCATTGTGGTCTATTTGTTCACACTGATCCATAGACTTCCTCTTTGCCAAAGCCTTTTAATTTTTTTCACGTTCTGGAGACAGCATCCCCAGTATCAGAGTTTGTTGGAGGAGGCGTGGCAAATTGAAGTTAGGGGAGTTCCATATTTTCAATTGTATCAAAGGTTGAAGGCACTAAAGCTGAAGCTCAAGGGATTGAATAGATCTCAATATTCTGATATTTCTTCACGGGTTAAGGAAGCTGAGACTAAGCTTGAGGTTTTGCAGCAGGATGCGTTAGCTGTTCCATCTACTCATCTCTCTAATGCAGTTCTGGATCAAGAAGGGTTTGTAGAGATCTGCATAAGGCTGAAGAGCAGTTTTACAGGCAGAAATCGAGAGTTAGAAGAATTATTGAGGGGGACTCTAATACTAAATATTTTCACAGTATGGTTAAAGTAAGAAACCATAGACAGACTATTCAAAAGCTCATTACTGATGAGGGGATTGTGCTAACTGAGGTGAAGGCTATGGGTCAGCTGGCTGTTGAATTCTAGAAAGGCTTATTAGGTAAGGCAAACCCTCTGGTTTAGGACACTCCACTGTCCTTTTTTGGAGGATATACTCTGTCACAAACTTGGAGAGGGTGATGTTCACATATTAACATCTCCTGTTATAAAGGAGTAAATTAAAGCAGTTTTTATGGCTATGGGAAATGATAAGGCACCAGGACCAGATGGATACACAGCTGAGTTTTTTAAGATGGACTGGAATGTTGTGGGAAAGTCTGTGGAAGACACTGTCTTGGATTTCTTCAAGACTGGTATCATGCCTCGGCATGTAAACTCAACTATTTTAGCACTCATTCCTAAACTTGAAGTGGTGGATAGAATGCAAAACTTTAGGCCAATATCATGTTGTAATGTAGTTTATAAGGGAATCTCTAAGGTGTTGGCAAATAGGCTTTCCCTAGTGTTACCAAAACTCATTGGGGTTAGCCAATCTGCATTTGTTAGAGGCCGACTTATTAGTGACAACATACTTATGGCAACAGAATTGGTTAAAGACTATCACAAAGCTTCTGTTTCTTCTAGATGTGTTTTGAAGATTGATCTGATGAAAGCATTTGATTCTGTGGACTGGAAGTTTCTATTGAAGGTTATGGTGGCTATGAACATTCCATTGAGTTTTATTAAATTAGTTGAAGCCTGTGTCACATCTCCTATGCTGAGTGTGGCTTTCAATGGTGGGCTTTATGGTTATTTCCCAGCAGGCAAAGGGTTAAGGCAAGGGGACCCTCTTTCCCCCTACCTGTTTATTATTGCCATGGAGGTCTTTTCTTGTATGTTAGCTAGGGATGTTTCTCAAGATTTTATCCCTTATCATCCACGGTGTAAAAGTCTTGGAATCACTCACCTCTGCTTCGCGGATGATCTTCTAGTTCTTTCAAATGATTCAATCAGGGCAGTTGCATGGATAAAGAGGTTGTTTGATAAATTTTATCATGTTTCTAGGTTGAGATGCAATTTGGCCAAGTGCCATTTGTTCTGTGCAAGAATTTCAAAGGAAGAGCATAAGTGGATTTCAGATTTCACAGGGTTCCCTTTGGGAGAACTGCCAGTAAGATATCTTGGAGTGCCTCTTTTATCTGGAAGATTGTCAGCTCAGGATTGCAGCACCTTGGTGAGTAGAATAACTAAGAAGATCACCACTTGGCAAGTCAAAACTCTTAGCTATACTGGGAGAATTCAGTTGATCTCCTCTGTTATCACTAGTGTATTCTAGTATTGGATGGATGTCTTCCTGTTACCAACGAGGGTTCTGAAATCGATTGAAGATGTGTGCAACAAGTTTCTGTGGGGGGGTTGGTTTGATGGGAGGAAGAAAGCACATGTGTCTTGGTCTAGAGTTGCTCTGCTTAAAGCAGAAGGAGGGTTAGGGACCAGGGACTTCAAGACATGGAATAAAGCTTGTGTTCTAAGGCACTTATGGAATTTGCTTGCTGAGGCAGGATCTTTGTGGGTTGCCTGGATCCAGAAATATAGAGTTAAAGGGCGTGACATATGGGGGATCCCTGTGAGCTCAGTCAGTTCATGGGTTTGGAAGAAAATACTCAAATGCAGAGGGCTTGCTCACTCTCATATCACTGGGGCAGGTACTACTCTTGCTTGGGATGGTCAATCACTGGTGAAATATTCTGTTAAATTGATATGGAATTCCATTCAAGTTCCATCCCCCACTGTTGAGTGGTGTCCTATTTTGTGGGGCAAGCCTTTTATCCCAAAGCATAGTCTGTTGGTTTGGTTGATTATCTTGGATCGAATTACAACGAAAGATAAGCTTGAAAGTTGGGGGTTGGCAGGTGAGAGTTGTTGTGTTCTTTGTCCTGGTGGGTTTGAAAGCCGAGATCACCTTTTCTCTTTATGTTCTTATAGCACTGAGATTTTCCAGTTAGTGTTAAAGAAGATCTGCAGGTGGCCTCATTTCCAAGACTGGTGTTTTCAGTTGGCCTGGGTAACGCAAAGATGGTCGGGTACAAGCTCGAAAGCTAAGGGTGGAAGACTGTTATGGACGATGTGCTGTGCATATATTTGGCATGAGAGATGTGCTATAATTTATGGCGCTAGAAGAGTTTTAGATCCTTCTCTAATCTCAACCACACTAATGTAGGAGTTCCAGTTATATAAAGGCAGCACAATTGAATTACAGAAGATGGCCAAGGACGTGCTGGGCTTATAGAACCATTAGGTTTTGTTTTTATTTCAATCACTTACTGGTATAGGTTTCTCTTTGGGTGTAAAACGTTGATACTTTGAGAGGGAGGTTGCGAGTTGCACCTCCCCGGGCTTCAATACAATTTTGATTAACCATAAAAAAAACTCTAAACAATATATACTAAATCTTAAATTCTAAACCCGAAAATCTAAACCCTCAACAAAAAGTGTTAAATATGTTGGATTCATGTATTTGGTGGTTCATGAATTCAATTAAATGTATTGGTGAGTTTAAAATTTACGGTTGACGTTACTTATTCGAATTGTTACTGATCCTTATTTTCTTAAATCATCAATTGAAACGTTGTTACTAACCTAATTTACCCTACATCCGACTCAATTTGTTACTGATCCTAATTTACTTAAATGAAATATTTGAAGGGTGTTTCTTCCCACAAACTATCGACTTTCCTAAATCCTAAGTTTTAACTGCTAGCATTTTCGGTTTAGGTCCAATTCGTATGGAAGATTAGAGCAGGAGAATACAGTCCCCCAGCCTCATGTTCCGTTCCATTTCCTCTTCTGCTGTTGGTTTTCGATTTCTTTCCTGTTTCTCTTGGCCGTTTCTTTCCTTGCCTCTGGTTTTTCCCTTCTGTCGATCCTTCTTCCACCCTAGTGGTGATGATCTTCATGTCTCCCTGTGAGACGCTTTTGTTCCCCACCTAACTGGTTTCCAGATGTGTGTGGATGTTCCATTGGTGCGTGTTTGAGGAGGCCGATTCGTCGGCTTGCTTGCTCCTCCCTGATCTGCCATCTACCTCCACAAGTTTCATCCATAAATGGGAGTGATCCGGAGATGCATGGACTGTTTGTTGTCTTGGATGAAGTTTCAGGGAGCTTGTGAGCAGGAAAGTCTTCTTCAAAGTTGGTTCTCAGTTGATCTGCTCTAATGGACAGTGATTCTATCGCATTTTGGGTTTGCTTGTTTTGCAGGTGGAACTCGGATCTGATTCTGGGTACGGTTCTCCCCAACGTTGTTGTTGCTCTCTTCTTCTTGCCCGCGCATCCTCTTTCTAATGGGGTAGTTGGTGTTTTGGAGGCGTGTCTGTGCTTGCTCCGTCGTCTCGTCGGCAAAAGACCTTGTGTGGGCATAGTGGTTGGAGGCGGCGCTGCTGGCTCGGAGGTGGGGAATGCAGGTTGGCAGCAGCTTCTTGAGGAATTGGCCGTTGTATTAGGGTTACTAAGAGTGGGTCGGTCCATGGGTGGTGACAGGGTTTGGGCTTTTTTGCTTTGGGACTTTGTTTGTCCACTGTTAGTTTTCTCTTTTCAGTTGTTTTTTGGCAAAATACAGCTGTATATCCACAACTTTCAGCTTTGTGACAAATATATCCACAACTATCGAAATATACGATATATCCAAAAATTAGAGGGTCGTGTGACAAATCTATCCAATTCCGTTTGAAACTTTAACGGCGTCTCAGATGGCGTGGAATACACTAACGGAATGCTGACTCAATGCCGTATCACTTGCCACATAAGCCAAAAAGCAATAAAACGTTACACGTGGATGCCAAATAGGCTAAATGAATAAAAACGAAAACAAAAATTCCACTTCCCCAATTTAATCCGTCGGGCTCTTCTCTCTTCCCCCTTTCCCCAATCGAAAAAAATTAGGTTTCATCCTTGGTCTTGGTTCTAGTTCAAATTCAAAATCGGCACCGTCGGAGAGGACGTCGCTGCGTGCGTTGAGCAACCTTGTCACCGGCGGCAGTCATCGACATCGTCAACAGACAACTTCGCGGCACGCATCACTTCCATTTCGAGTGAATTCGAGTTGGGTGAGGTTTGTCTTGAGATGTCAAAGCGTCGATCTTCATCTGCGACAAGCATCAATAGCGGTGGCGTGGTTCTTTGCGAGCACAATGTTCCTGCTGTCGTGAAGACATCAGGCACCTCGACCAACCCATGCAGGCAGTTTTATGGATGCTCATATTGGCAGGTAAAACATAGAATCTTGGTTTCTATACGCGTGACACAATGCTGCTTTTGGTTTGTTGACTGGATGGTTCTTGGTACAGAATGTGGATGGGAAACATAAGTGTAGATTTTTTAGGTGGGTCAAGAGGATTGATTATGGAAACCAGGATCTTGAGGCAATAATAATACATTAGGAAGATGCATTGCACCTCGCTGAGTCCAAGGCGGAGAGGAGGAAGAAGGAGAAAAATGCGTTGATCAAAGATATAATTGCTCAAGGAAGGAGATTGAACGATGATATTCGGGCTATTCGCTTAATGATAGGCATTGTGATAGTTTCCAATGTTTTCTTTCTTCTCTTTTTGTGGAGGAACCAAACTCGTTTGTAGAGGATGGGGGGAAGTCAGACTACTTGTTTCAAATACTTGTAACAGCAGGGTGATTGTTTTGAATGTATTTGAAATGGACCAAGTAGTCTGTGTAATGTGCTTTTGTATAATGGAACAAGTAGTCTGGAACAAGTATTTGAATGTTGTGACTGCAATGAAAGTTGATATTGAAATGGACCAAATAGTCTGGAACAAAGTAGTCTGGAACAAAGTACATATTACAAGCATCCCCTAATAATACTACTTGAGTCATCCCCTAATATATAGCATTCCTAATGTTTAAAAGTAGAACCCCACGTCATGTTACATAGCAAAAGACCACTATAACTAAGTCGACTTCCAAAATACCCTCCTCGGAGGTCATTACATGGGGCTCAAAATGTTTAAAAGTCAACTGTCTATTTTCATCAAGTCTCTGGTTGTGTTGCTGGGGGCTGACTTCCCTGGACGTCTACCACTGTAGGTTGACCCACATCCACTGCATGTCCACGTGCTCCATTCAGCTGAAAAGGAAAACGTAGATAGTCACAAATTTAGACACAAATTGCTTCCAAAAGGATCATTCTGATGAATCTGGAACTTACGCTAACATACTGGTTACCAGTAGTTTCATCTACATAGACTCCTATTCCTCTTGTTGCCACCCTCATCTCACGTTCTATGGTTCTTCGATCATCCACATTTAGCCTTACTTGCTACAATGGTACAACACATCAGAATCATTGCATCTCACACTCTAGCAAAATAAAGTTCGTATAATACTTGAATTCCAGCCCCTTGATTAAGGGGGCATGTTCTAGCATTATGTGTGACAGAGCCACATTTGCTGCAATGGGACACTCTTATCCTCTTTCCAGTTGCTGAGGCAGGTTGTTGCGTGGCCTCCCTCGCTCTAGGAAGGGTCCTGCTCCTCTGCCAATATAAAAAAACAAAAGATTAGCAATGGAAAATTACTACCACAAACACTTAAATTACGGACTAAAGTGTACTTACGGTTCTTGGTGCTTCAACGACTGTGGGAGACTTGCAAGTTCGTGCATTATGGCCTCTGCACCACACTTGCCACAATGGATTAGGATTCCCCTTTTTGAGACTTCCTCACCCACTCCATGCGTTTGAGGTCGAACCTCAAACTCATGTGCTACTTTCCTCCTATTTTTTTAGGCCTTCCAGGCATAGCTCTTTGTTTTGGAGGGAGCAAAGGGTAGCCAGAGCCCAGAGGCCTCTGGCCATGCTTGTCTCCCATTGAAACAAGGAATGCCTACCTTGTATGCATCAAATACCACATGAGTCCAGTAGCATTGACTAACATACGAATCAACGTCTTTCCTCAGATGTGAGATTGCTGAAACATCATGGCAGCATCGTAATCCACTCACTGCCCAATACCCACAACTACAGCTACAATTGTTGAGGTCGACAATGTACCCTCGACTTCCCATCTTAACCTCACACTTGTCATCTAATGTTTGCCTAGAAGTGCACAATCTTGCAAGAGCCTTCTCCTTCTCAATTCTCTTCCAGTTCTGGGGCATAACTTATTAGGGTTATCATACAACATTTTGTACTTCAATACAAACCTATCCATCAAATACCCCCTAATACCCTCAAGCATATCAATCAACCTCATTCCCCTATACTTGATTATGGATCCGTTCCACGTTTCACATATATTGGATTCCACAGAGTCACATTTGGGAATATGGGATGGGAATGCTCGACAGAAATACCTAGGCTCTTGATCCATGAAGTCTTTGTAGGGTGTTGTGGATGGATCCACTGCTTCTATGGCTTGCAATTCTGCACAAGCCACTTTCCAATCTACTTCATTACATGAGTAGACCGCCTTCCAAAAGCTTTTCCTCACAGCATCTGTTTTGTTTTTTGCCTTCCAATTTGCATAAACATGCCTAGCACATTTTCTATGCTCAGCTTCAGGTAGGAGATCACGTAGAGCTTCAACAAGTCCCTATCAATGAAAACATTTAGAAATTAAACAGTTAGAAGTGTAAAGTATTAATGATTGAAACTAACATTTGGAACTTAAATGATGAGGAAACTTTCTCACCTTCTGCTGCTCAGAAATGACACTCCAACCTCTTCCATCTACCATGCCTAACTCTTGAGACAAAGTGTTCAAGAACCACCTCCAAGTATCTGCATTCTCACCCTCCACTACAGCTCAACTCAGAAACCATTATTGTATGATATGGATTTCACAACCCAATAATTAAAATACGTAAATACCCAGGAGAAGCAGGTTATCACCGTCGGATTAAGGGGAAAAATCGCAACAACAAGAATTCCCCAGACAGCAGTGGTCCCTTCTCGAAATTGCAATGTCGCTTTCCCACCTTCAAAACAACCACCGAATCACGAAAAGTTGACAATCCACTATAAGAACCTTTCGAACCAAAATCAAAAGACACAACAAGCTTATTTGAAGGGTATGCGAAACTCACAAACGAAGCGAACCTGAAAATGGAACTCCTTGGCCGCGATTAGGGTTTCTCGGCAACGATCTTCTCGGGTAACCTGGCCTTCGACGGTGCCCCTTAGACTTCCCCACTGTGCTTGTGTTTCGTCGGAAATATTGTGCTCCTGAGAATCACCATGGCGCGGACTGCATGGAACCCGTCGGCGTAAAATGGAGGCGATGGTTGTGGTTCGTGGTTCGAATCGAAAACTGGGTTTGGGGTAGGTTTAATTGGGGGGGGGGGGGGGGTGGAGGCGTCGATCGGAGGAAGATCGGTGATATTCCGCTGTTTTTCTGGGTTTGAAGCTCTACTCTCGCCGTCGGAGTGGTCGGAAAACGGAGAGCTTCGCGAAAGGGGAGAAGACGGATCGAAAGGGGAGAAGATGGATCGAAATGGAAGGTGGGGCTTCGTTTAGTGGTTTAAGGGTTTTTTTCCCCTCTTTTAATCCACGTTAGACAATGGGGTCAAAGAACCCACCACATCAGCAACCACCGTTTGTCTAGTCATCAGGTTAACTGACGGAGTTAACGGAGAAGACGAAAATGGATATATCGTGTATTTCGATAGATGTGGATATATTTGACACAAAGGTGATAGTTGTGGATATACAGGTGTATTTTCCCTTGTTTTTTTCCTTCCTTTTCGGTTATTGTAACTTTTTACACCTTGTTTCGTATTAATGAAACAACCAATTATCGTTAAAAAAAAAAAAGAGTACAGAATGTTGTAGACATCTAGACTACTTATAATACATTTTAAAGAGTTTGATTTGCTCTATTTCAAATTTCCTGCAACGAGAGTGAAAGTAGGAAGGGTATTTTCGTCAACACAATCATTTTTTTATTTCAAATCACCATGGCGCGGACTGCATGGAACCCGTCGGCGTAAAATGGAGGCGATGGTTGTGGTTCGTGGTTCGAATCAAAAACTGGGTTTGGGGTAGGTTTAATTGGGGGGTGGGGGCGTCGATCGGAGGAAGATCGGTGATATTCCGTTGTTTTCTGGGTTTGAAGCTCTACTCTCGCCGTCGGAGAGTGGTCGGAAAACGGAGAGCTTCGCGAAAGGGGAGAAGACGGATCGAAAGGGGAGAAGATGGATCGAAATGCAAGGTGGGGCTTCGTTTAGTGGTTTAAGGGTTTTTTCCCCTCTTTTAATCCACGTCAGACAATGGGGTCAAAGAACCCACCACATCAGCAACCACCGTTTGTCTAGTCATCAGGTTAACTGACGGAGTTAACGGAGAAGACGAAAATGGATATATCGTGTATTTCGATAGATGTGGATATATTTGACACAAAGGTGATAGTTGTGGATATACAGGTGTATTTTCCCTTGTTTTTTCCCTTCCTTTTCGGTTATTGTAACTTTTTACACCTTGTTTCGTATTAATGAAACAACCAATCATCGTTAAAAAAAAAAAAGAGTACAGAATGCTGTAGACATCTCTAGACTACTTATAATACATTTTAAAGAGTTTGATTTGCTCTATTTCAAATTTCCTGCAACGAGAGTGAAAGTAGGAAGGGTATTTTCGTCAACACAATCATTTTTTTATTTCATATAAAAAGATATCAATGCTAGGATTTGAACCATGGTCCCTTCCACCAAAGACAAGAATTGTAACCAATTAGACTATACACATTTGTTTTATTTTATTACAGTTAGCTAGCCCGCTAAGTCTCCTGTAAGTATTTTGTGGAGTTTAATACTTCTATTTTCATATTTTAATAATTAATTCATAATTTTTTCTAACTTATAAATGAAGGATAATCTTAAAATCTCAACACAAATATCATTGGTTGGAATATTACGCATTGAATATTACGCATTGAAGTGTTGAATGAAGTGTTGAATGACGATATAAGGACACTGGTACCATACATTTCAAAATAAATAAAAATGACAAACACCGATACCAATTATCTCGACAGTCTATGCTAAAATCTGAAATTGTTTAATCATTCAATTTGAATGATAGTTTAGTCAAATCAAGCAAATAATTCACGATTGTGTATGAACAAAAATAAAAACATATGTATTGTATTATGAAAAATGTATTTATTTTAACAATCTAAAAAAAACAATCTAAACTTTCATAAGACCCCTTATTTCAATAATGTAATTAATGAAATATTTTTTATCAGCATGATGCAATGTTCAAGCTAAGGTCCAAGTATTAACACCATATAGTATTCATCATAGTTAACTATTTCAATATCCACAACTAACTATTAATGGTTACTTGCTTTCTCTTAGAGAGTTTAATGTAACACTCTCATGCCTAGCTATGCTCTAAGCATTTGTTTTCTTTTTCACAGTATCATTTGCAGTTATTTATTAAATCAACTTTGTTTCTAGCTTTCAATTCCTAATTATTCACTTCTTCATACCAACTTATGAGAATGCTAAATATATTTTTCATGTCTAATCTATTAAAAATAAATGTTGCTTATCACTTAAATTCAATGGTATCCATGTTAGGTTTGATGTCACTAACATATTCTCCCAATTTCTCCTAAAAGCATAATATATTGCGCTTGATATCATAGTTTCGTTAGGTAAAGTTCAACAAACTCAATCAATATTCGAACTCTTCGAAATAGCTATCTACATGCGAACATGAAGTACTGAGTAGCTAAAACTCTACTTGAGTTAGTACAATCTTTTGCGCTATCGATTCAAAATTCAATACATGATTATCTTAGTACAATTTAGTCATACTAATTGTGTTGTAGGAGACATCTTATCAAAATCTTAAAGAAAGATTCTTTGATTGATCGCTTTATTGATGTAATCAATTATACCAAAATAGAAGTGATCAAATTTATAAGATGCACTCAAAGTTTGCTATAATTATTGAGGTTCAGCCGCACGTTAGGCGTACGACGGTCATTAGGCATTTGTCTATCTCCTAGCTTGCATAGACATGCTTAGACATTATAATAAAGATAGCAATTTTAATAATAATGAATAAAATAACGATTCTGAAGCAATTTCATACTTTAGTTCAAATGATTTAACAACAAATGAAATAACTCTCAAGTCTATAAATTATTTTCTTTTACCAAATGATATAATTAATTCATTCATGAGCTGATATAACTAATTATAAGCACTTCAAATTTAAGTTAAAACTCTATATGATGCAATTGTTTGACGAAATGGGTTTTATAATAGAGTGGTTCTATCGAGAGAGGGTCTAAGAAACATGGCTTACTTTATTTTTAATAGGTGGATATAATATCTATCTTCATCGTTACTTTTAGATTGGATTCAATTTAGTATACTTTTTCATTTAGATAGATTTTTTTATGATGTTCTGGTATATGATATATCATTATATATGATGGTGTTGGATATTAATTCCTCTCATTTTAGGTTCAAATTGATGCATTTTCCCCTTAACCGTTCCCTTTTATTGGTTAATAATTTTTATAATATTTTTCACTTTGAAATATCGTGAGCGGAATCTATACACAACAATTTGTGTTTTTTCGCTTCCTCTTCTTGGTTAGATATTGTGTCCATACTGATTCCTATATTGATTATCGAATTACTACTTTTTTGTTCTTTTTTTTTATGCAAGATATGATTTTATGTTTGATAATATAGATTTATTTTGCAAGCATGTGGATGCTTGAGAGTAGGTTGTCAACCCGCGGGTCGACCCCTGGGTCGACCCACTTTGACCCTGACCCGGTGAGAAAAACGGGTTGCACGCACCCGCCGAGTTGACCGCTACAAGGTACCGGTTTAGAGGTCAAATTGTGCCATTTTTTTAATTGGTTTGCGAAATGCACCTATTTTCCGATTTTCTTTTCGCCTAACTCAATCTTTGGAATCCTAAGTTGAACATTTGAATATTGTTGTTATATAATTGTTTGTGAATTTTCACTATATGTTGGATCTAAGTACGACATGTTATTTTAGTGTAATATTATATGTTATAACTCATATGTTAAATGAGATTTGATATAATTTATCATGATAAGTATAATATATTGACTCACTAGCTTCACCGGGCTAAACCTGGCTAAACCGGGAGACCCATTAACCCTTGACCCACTAGCTCCACCTGGTTCGGGTCAACCCGCAGGTTGACCTTTTAAGACTTTTCATTTGCGGATTTGCCTCATAACTTATATTTTACAATGGCTCTAAACTTGGATGGGTTTCTATTCAGCATATAAATTTTTAATGATGTAAAATTTATGAAACTAAAATGCATATTAATAAACAATGTAAGGTCTCATCTTCCCTCTTAAGCACTACATATCATTGTTTACTTACCATTAAATCAAAGTCTTTCTAACGTGAGTAAGAGCTACAATGACTTTTATTAATTTTCACTACTCATATATCACAAGTGTTCAAATCATTATCAAGTGTTCATACAATGACTTCTATTGTTGTGGATTTCCCCCAAAATGTTAAGTATGCCGCTTTTAGTTTTTGCCTTCATTTCGCTTTGATTTTGCTTTTTATGTGTTGCTCTATTAGTTGAACTTGCAACTGGAGATCTGCATGCTTTGTTTCATATTCATTATATCATTGAATACACTAAAGTCAATGGAACCATGACTATGTGAGTTAGTTTGTTTCTTTTTAAGTACACTCTAAACATATAGTTTGTTTCATTATATCATTGAATACACGAAAGTCAATGGAAAAGGCAAAAAAATTTATCGTATACTGAAGATTGATTATGTATGTGTGATGTAAAACAACTCTTATCATTGTTCTTCTTAGACATTTTTATATAGATATGACTTTGTTTGAAATATGAATTTATGTTAGTGTAGTTGGGCGCTGTTTGTCATTTTTTAAACTTCATTAGTCAAATACATTAAATACTTTTCTATATTATTCATGAATAACTTACCAAATTAAATTGTTACTACAATCCTCAATATTTACTACACATACACATGAAAATCAAACTCTCCCGACCACTTGGCCGGGCCCTAATCTAGTTTAGGAAATGGATCATTCTATTAGGTTAATATTTTACCGGCCCAGCTACCATAGGCCCATCACGTTACCAGACCCAGCCCAATCTTCATCTCCTCACGTACTTGATGCCTAGAAAGTAGAACCCCAAGAAAATGGGGAGAATCAAAGGAGGGAAGGAGGAAGGAAACAAACAAATCGAAGCGAAATCCTCCATGTCGGTGGTGTGCCAAACTAACATTTGATTTCATTCTCTTTCCCACGCTTTCTCACTCCTAGTGGCGGAACGCGCGGCGGCGGCGGCCAAGCCAGAATCGGCCCATCATGAGTTACCGGAGGTTCGTTCATCTCCGATCTGTCGAGATAGCGTGCAGAATTTTTCTGGCATTTGCGAGTCGTGTTACTCTAGATCTGATTTTCGATTGATCAATTTTTTCTGATTTCAGTTTCCAGAACCGCAGCAGGGAGATTCGTTCTTCGAGATCAGCTCTCTTGGATGATGGCCTGGAAGAAGGTGGGTTGAAGGCTTCCGCTTCGTTTTCTTCGGAGATCAAGGAGCACGACAACGATAGAGCTGTGGAGACTCTGCAAGACAGAGTTAGTTTCCTCAAGAGAGTAAGAACTCGCTTCCTTTATCCATTGCATTTGAGAATTGTGGTATCAAGCCTCCTTGCTGCCTTTTGGTAGCAAACTTCGTTAGTGTTCATTGTGAGTTTGTGATAGCTCCTACTACAAATGTGCCTTGATAGATTTGGCCACCTGGGTTTTTGGAAGATAGATGATAGATCATTCCTATTCCATATGTGGTTTTGTTCAGCTGTATCTTAGTGGCATTAGGAAAACCTATCATTTGTTAGTAATCTACGCTTGTTCTGCTCAATTGCGGAGCTCCAAATAAGCGGGAATTGAAGGTTTGTAATGCTTCGGTGGGGAAGATTTATGGATCAATTCTCTGATGTATAGACGGAGCTGTATGGATCAGGGAACAGTTAAGGGGAGTGTCTTTGTTTCTGAAACTCTTGGTCGTTTGGGTCGATGAATCAGCAGTTCAAAACTCAGCTCTTAGATTTAGTAATGTGGTTACAACTTCTGCTGTGTCTGTAAATGCTCGCTGGTAAGAGAGATGCCCCAGCCTTCCGCTTATTTCAAATTTAAATAAAATGTTGGATGTGTCATACTTGAAAATAAATTAGTTGCCTTGTGGAAGAGAAATCTCTGAAGATTAGGAAATTTTCAATCCTTCGGTTAACCTTTCAGAGGTACTTGGTGGGGTGTTTGTGTGCAGATAACTGGTGATATACATGAGGAAGTAGAGAGTCACAACCGTCTGCTAGATCGAATGGTATGTGGTTCCTACCAATCTCTAGTCTTAATCGAAGTTATGCATTGGCCAAAAGAACTTCACTTTTCTTCCCTTCCCCAAATCTGCTATGCCATGTTAAAATCAGGGCAATGGCATGGACGTTTCAAGGGGAGTAATATCTGGAACCATGGATCGATTCAAAGCGGTACGCAAATTCGATCCACCTGATGCTTCCCCTCTAGTGTTATCTCTATCTACTTTGGAACTGCTTCTTGATGACCTGGTCCTATGATGTTTCTTGCTAGGCAGGTATTTGAGAAGAAATCCAGTCGACGAACATGTGCGCTTGCTGGGACCTTTGTCCTTTCGTTTATAGCTGTATATCACCTCATCAGGTAGTGCTCTCCAGATATAACACCATTGCATTAGCCAATGCTCTATATATCTAGGAAGGGGATGCTCGCTTCGTTTTGGTTAATGCATTTTTCGGCGTGGTTGCTTCATTAGAGTTGATGTGTAGTTTATCGTTTTGAATGCAGGGTCCTTAGATTCTTCATGTAACCCATGCGAGGGAACCAGTGAATCAATGGATTGAAGTTGGGGTTATAGTTGCGGAATCAAAGGTCTATCTTTCTGGCTTCTTTCTTTCATCAAGTGCAGGAGGTTGTTACCCATATCGAATCGAATCGAATTGGGGACTTTACCTCTTGTCTAACACTATATAGGAAGCACATTGTTGTATGTTGAAACCTCCATAGAAATTTACTTCAAATATCATGGCTCAATGCCTTTCTGGTAAATGACGTGACGAGGATTGGTTTTTGTATTTTTTTGGGTAGAGGAAAGTGGAAACACTGGGAAATTTTCTGCATAAATTTACCTTTTGACGCCGGAAACCGACATGTCCGTTGACCGACAATTCGCCAGTCAATTTCGGATATTTGAATTTACTGTTTGGCAGGTTGTTATAAGAGGTGAACCAGACACAGACGTTCAAGCTTGGGTGGTTGTAGATTGACGGCGACGTTTTTCAGGTGGTCGACGGGCGGCCAATGTATAGACAAAGAGGATGAGACAGCACAATTCATCTTGGTCAGCTCTCACCCAGTCGGAACAAGCAAGCAAGCCTGTGACTTTATGGTCAATTATTTATTTTACTGTATTATTTTTTGGGGTTTATATAAGTAGAATTCAGATATATTTTGTGTCCAATTAATGTTTTTTCATCGAAAGTAATATCGTTTAAACATGTAATGAATAATTCATGTGGTAACTGAAGGGTACAAGTCAACACGTGCAAATATAGACCCAGTTGCTTTTATAGGTGTCAAAACATAGCCCGACCCGCAACTCGACCGCAACCCGAATTGACTAAAAGTCAACAACCCGTAACCCGCCCGACCCGCAACCCGATTGACCCGCAACCCAACTAACCCGCAACCCGACTGACCCGCAACCCGATTAACCCGAACCCGATTGACCTGAAACCCGACTGACCCGCAACCCGATTAACCCGAACCCGATTGACCCGAACCCGACTAACCCGTAACCCGACCGACTCAACCCGAATTTCATCTAATCCACTTGAATAATTATAAAAATATACAATACATAGTTTTTCAAAATAAAGTTTTTCATTCTAAACTTAAGTAAAATTATTTTTTAATTTCGTATAAGAAATTTAAAAAATATGAAACTCACTTGATATTACGTATGTTAAGAAAATTACCAAAATTGAAACATGAAGGTCACTTGAGATCATGACAATATTAATATAATATATAAATTAAAATTTTGGTTAATTTAACTATTCAATAAAATTATCAATTAAATATAATAAAGTAAAGTAATGTATTTGGTAATTTGATGTTTTTAAAAGAAGAGGGAAATTTTGCTGTATTCAAGTTTTTGGGAAGAGAAAGAAGAGGGAAATTTGGTTCTTTGAATTTTTTTAGAAAAGAAACAAGTGGGAATTTTTGTGGTTTTGATATGTGGGAAGAGAAAGAAGTGGGAAAGTTTGATTTTTTTGATTATGAAAGAGAAATAAGGAGGGAAACTTTTGACTTTTCAACTTTTTGTAGAAGGAAATAATAGGGTAATTTGTTTCTTTCAATTTTATGGAAGAGAAAGAGGAGGGAAGATTGAGTTTTTCTAATGTATGGAAGGAGAAAGAAGGAGGGAAATTTTAGTATTTTGTGAAAAGAAAGAAGGAAACAAATTTGGTGTTTTCAATTTTTTGGTTTTTCATAATTTTAGCTTTTGAAATATGAATCTTTAACTTTTATATGGAGGGCATGACTAGTTAAAATTATTCTTATATGTTTTGAAAGCTAATATGTATATATATATATATGTAATTGTTTATGGGCTAATAAATGAATTAACCATTAGTTACAATAATTTATACTAAACTTGATAAGTAATCTTTGACGGTTCGTTGTTTAGGATATAAAGTATATGATTAGGGTATAACGTATAAGGTACATATGGTTTAGGGTGTATATGGTTAGGGTATAAGATATTGATGGTTTTGACGGTTCTAAGTTTTTTATTAACATATGTTCACTTGAAGTCATTTGAAGTCTTTAACGGCAGGAGATCCCTCTTTAATTTATGTTTATGGTACGTGGTTAGGGTACAAGGTATGTGGTGTAAAGTATAGGATATATGGTTAGGGTATAACAATTAGCAAATATCACTTTTTATCTATGTTTTGAAAATCAAAGTATGAATTTCACTTTTAAATTAACTATACTTGCAAAATCACAACTCAAGGACATATGATTAGGGTATAGGTTATGTGGTTAGTGTATAATGTATTGATGGTTTAGGGTATACAAACAACAACATATACTAACTTAATATTGTTGATTGAGAGTAAGGCTAAATGTATAGGATATATGCTATTGAGTAAGTTATGATTGAAGTCACAATAATTTTACTAAATTTGATAGCTAATCTTTAATGGTTCAATTTTTAGGATAATTCGAACAATTTTACAAATAACTCGTTTGGCAACAGTTTACTGAAGTTATTTGGGCAATGAGTTATTTTGAAATAACTCCTTTTATCACTATGCTTTTGCCAATCACCACACGCCAAATACCAGATTTGCATGGTTATACTAAACGAGATACTTTAATTCAATTACTACTGAATTACTACTAAAATATCAAATAAACAATTAACGGTGTCTTTTGGTTGCAAATATTGATATCACCATTACTATTAGCTATAATAGTTTATCAATTATGATTAATTACATAACAAGTTTGCAAGTCATGCAAATTGATTTAAAATTTTGACTAGTTTTTTTCAAAAAAATAAAGTAAATATATACGAGGTAGAAATAAATTGGTTAAAAAGTTGAGAAATATTTTAAATTAGTGTAATAAAATGTGTAAGTTGGTAATGAGTAATGAGTTAAGTTACTTGATGCGTTGGCCCGAACAACCCAAAACCCGACCCGTCCGCAACCCGCCCGACCCAAAACCCGATGAACCCGCAACCCGATTTGCCCGCAACCCGATTGAACCCGAACTCGATGAACCCGCAACCCGACTAACCCGCAACCCGTTTGAACCCGAACCCGATGAACCTGCAACCCGACTAAACCGCAACCCATTTGAACCCGAACCCGATTGAACCCCGCCCGAACCCGCCCGATTGACACCTATAGTTGCTTTCAGGATTTAGCTTTCCCTTCCGCTTTCGGCATTTTCAAGGGGTTGAGGACGATATCAGGATTCATTCAATTCAAGGTGTTTCTTCCTTTGCTCTTTTTGAGAACCATCCATTTGATTGTCATCGCTCCTATTGGAAAGAGGAATTGTTGTGTTTACAATAGGACGCTATTTTGTCAATGGTAAAAGTATGACATGTATAGGCGGTTCAAGTATAAAATATCACTATTGGAGGTTAAACCAGTAGACGGTATTTAACGGTAATAGTTGAATTACGGTTATACCACAGTTTTGTTATAAAATGTCCTACCGCTAACTTTTCCGGTATGGTTTCATGGACCATGGAATTCACAAAGCTCAATGTCTATATATTGACTTCTACGTTATATGCACAAAAACGAGTGCATACTATACACTCATTTCTAAAAATAGCTTTAAGATATCGAACTTTGAATTAATTGTTAGCATTAGTGTAATATGAGGATATAGTAGGGATGGCAATGGGGCGGGTTTACCTAAACCATCCCCATACCCATGCGGGAAAAGGTTTTGCAAACCAATCCTCGTACCCGTGGGTTTCGGGTACCCATGGGTAATACCCGCCCCGTACATTCAACATTATTATACTTAAGACTTTACATGTAAATTTTATAACGCTAACAGATCTATTATATCATGAAGTCAACAATGATATAACCATTCTTAATACAATTCTAATGATATGATCCTGAAACATCCATTAATTCATAAGATAGAGTACAATATTTTCCAAATCATTATTCTCTAACTCTGATACATCTACTAAGTAATAATTAACTAACTTAATTATGTGGGTAACAAGAGGAAAAGGTGAAAGAATGAAGGAAAAATTTAAGAAAAAGAATTAGGTTTTGATTTGGATGACAACTCAATTAACTTTCTGCTTATTTTCTTGAGTTACCTACATTATTATTGATAGGTTATAATTTGATCAATTTATTTTTTATACGTGAACAAATGTTCTTAGTGGGGCGGGGTATGGGTATGGACGGGGAGGCTAAACCCCATACCCATAAAAAAAATTATGGGTATTACCCATACCAAGTCAATACAGGAATTCCATACATTGACTGGGTCGGAGGCGGTCGGGTACCCACGGTCGTGGATTTGATTGACATATCTAGATATAATATAGGATCATAACTAACAAAATGCATTACCCTAAGCCATAAACCTTCAATTATTAACCTTAATCTATGTCCCAAATTATTAACCCTAAACTATAGTAAAATTTGAATAATTTTGTGCAAATTCATGCATTTTCTTGTCTATTGTATACAAGTGATGATAGATATAATTTTTAAATGGACCGTTTGCTCAAAACGACGATTATGCAAAGAATGCATATCATGCACCCAAAAAAATGAGTGTATCAAAGACAAATCCATACGTCAGGTACTACTAGTGAGATATCTCTATCTAGATCATGAATTAAATCGAGTTTGGGGTATGATACTATACTCTATCCTCTAATGGATAAACCCTACGCACCGATTTTCTAAACACCAAGCCGAAGTTTGATTTAATGAAAAACAAAAATTGACCGTTGAGATCGGCCGGAGCTCATCTAAGTACATCTAACGGTTAGATTACCTGTTGTATACTATACGTCTGACGTACCCCAGTCATTACCATATATAGTGTATATATATATATATATACTAAAAACATAAGTAGAGAATGCAAGTGATTTTTTTTTTATGGCAAGTTGGAAAGCCTCCAGTCCGAATTAAGGCTACTTCTACTAAGCATAGAAATTGGAAAAGTATGGACCAATGTGCTCAATTTTAGACATGCCATTCATATATTATTTAGAATAAATCATCTGAGAGCAGAATTAGATGGATGGAATTTGAACTACTAAACCGGAGATCATGAAGAATGTCATCTTAATCGTCCTCACCAATTGGCAATGTAACACATAAATACACCACATCGTTCTCACCAATTGGCACGGTAACACATAAATACCCCACACAAAACTGATGCTTAAGCTAATGAACAAGTTAATTATTAATTTCTTCCGCTGGACGCAAGCAGAATCACAGCGTATCATCAAATGTTAGCAACTTGGTGCGTCCCTACGAAACATGAAAACCCAATAATAGTATGTCAGCGGGCAAAAGAATACTTTTTTATAATTACATAAATGTTGCCGCCCTTGAATTTTATTTGCTGTTAAATTAAAATTGGTCAGCTCACACAGAGAGCAGGCTGAAGAACACCTGACTGAGTCTCTCATCCTATGGCTCGCAAAGTACCATTGTGTAATTAACTCACCCTTCATTGCTGCAGCCTGCAGGTAAGAAACAAATTTCGGTGATATATATTAGTGTTATCATTTGATTCAAGAATTACTAAATTGCAATTAGTTATCGATCCCTTAAAAAATATATTATCGAACGGATCGTAAAAGCTATCAATGGTATACAAAAATTATGAAAGTTATATGCTAGCCTTGTTTTACTAAGTTAAATTGGTAGTCCCTAGTATTATGTGCAATCTGTAGCGGTATTTCACCGATATTATGTTTATATATTACCTATGAAC